ATATGAAAAATAGATTTCCTCATTGTAGTAAGAATATTGAACAAGATTTAAGAAAGTTGATTAGTAAACCATTAAGACAACAGTTTATGAATGTTTGTTTTCAATACAGCCTTTACAATGATTATCGATGAGAAGAAAAAGAAAACCTAGAAGAATTGGTAGAAAGAATTATCATAGACCATTTTGAAAGCACTGAGTTAGCTACTGAATTGTTAAAGGATTGAAAGAAATGAAATAAAAGAGTTCATATTTTTTCTCAAATAAAAGAAGGGGGTGAAATTTTTGGCAAACCAGCTAAGGATATAATTCTTAAAGACATTATTGGAGGCAAAGACAAAAAGATTAAGGAATTAGAAACCAAACAGAAGGAGTTGGAGGCAGAAGTAGAAGAATTAGAAGAAAGAGTAGACATTGAAGTTGAAACTAACTTGGAAGCACTGGAAATATCTAAAAAATGACATGACAAAAGAGTTTTTGCAGAGAATATGAAGAGAGATGCTACTATCATCGAACAGAGAATAGAGAATGACCAATTAAAAAAGAAATTAGATGCATATGAGAAAAAAGCTAAAATCAAGCAGATTAAAAATTTAACCAAGAGAGCAAAGACAAAAGTTAATGGAAAGGTTCAAAAACTTAAAGAGAAAGTTAATGTTATTAAAGAAAATTTTCAAACTTACATTTTGCAAGAGTTTGAAAGCCACATTTTAAGACAGCAATAGATTGTTATGAAGAAGTTAGAATATAAAATTCTTGAAAGGACAAAATCATCTGTCCCATACTGTAATTATTGTGCAATTAGTGATGAGCCAGTTCTTAATAATGCTACTCACGAATTGGTAGCATACCATGAAGATAGTTTTACTGCTGATATTGGCTCTATCTGTGCTGATTGTAAAAAAGATTTTGAGAATAATAATCTTTCTTATTGTGAACTTTGTGGTAGATTGCAAAGAAATAGACAAGGTTGTTATTGTAGTTTGTTGAAAGATGGAAAATTCAGAACACTTTCCACAGAAGAGGGAACTTCCCAAACTATTGAAGCTCATTTAGCAAAGGAAACCAAAGAACTTGAAAAGGAATTGAAAACTGCCAAGGAGGAGTTGAATGTTGAAAGAGAAGAAATAACCAAATTTCACGAAAAGTCAAAAGAGTGAAGTAAAAAGCAAAAACAGGAGTTATTAGATAAGATAAAAAGTTTAGAAGAGAAAATTAATCATCTGGAAGAAGAAAACAGGAAATTGAAAGATCAACAAAATGGTTAATTAGTTGCTCAAATTGAAGTTAAAAAATGACCTTGATTGAAAATAAGAAAGTAATTTAAAGAAGATTAAGGAAATTTTCCTCTGTATAAATTGAAATTAATTCCAACTATCAAAGAAAATGGTATTTATTTTCCTTTTAAAGATTTTTGCTTTTTATTAGGTAATAATGCATCATCATGATGCTTTCTTTTTCTAACATTTATTATTTTTCTTTCCTCTTGATAAATTTCATAAGTAATCCTTTCTTTTCTTAGATAAGCTTCAAGTGTTTGAGTGTCATTTATTTTGAAAATGTAAGGAGCAATTTTTTCACCTTGTTCCTTTTTCAAAATACTTCTAATGATGCTATAATTCTTGGGTTCCATAGTAGATCTGATATAAATGAGTTTCATATTAACAATTTTTTTTTATCTAGAGATAATCCTACAATATCATGATCACAATTGTGATGTTAAAAAACATTATTGATCCCTGAAATTCTTGTAGTACCAATCTTCACTTTGTCTGGTTTTGTTGCAGCATGCCCTACATGAAGTTGACAAATGATTTTCAACTGTTTTATATTTAGCTATCTTTCGAGAGTTTATGGTACAGTCAGACCTCCATAAATGCACCCCCTTGGGACCAAGGGACAGCATGCATTTATTGAGGGTGTGCATTTATGGAGAGAAGCAATTTCATTGGTCACAAATGATACACAATATTTTAAATACAGTAATACTAAAATAACTATCCATTGTAGTTTGTTTTGATGAATTTACTTTTTTTATATTGATATATCTTTCAATTTTATTAACCAATTTTATTTGTTTGTAGTGTTATTTTTATTGCTGTAATAAAAATGAATGTACAGTTTCAAGACCTTTAATGCTTCCTCAAGGCTTAATGTTATCTTCTCAAAATTGTCAGCAGGTACATTCATTTTATTTTTATATTTCTGCAAGTTCTTTGATTATTTTATCATCATCTGGAACCTCACAGACAATATTTTCTTCAGGGATATTCAAAAATTCATCAACTTGCATTTTATGAAAGCATTTAGTGACACAGTCATGAAATTGGATTACATTACATATTGGAAATTATCCAATCAAATCAAAAATTTTGCCGATGATTTCTAAATTTATCCTAGTTACACGATGAATTTTATACATTAGTCATGTGGGGTGCATTTATGGAGGGAGTTTTCATATGAGTGGGACTGAAAAAATACCGTGCAGTGCAGAGTATGGAGAGTGTGCATTTATGGAGATCCGACTGTATTTGGAGCTGAGTTTGTAGATCAATGGATGTTGTAGATCAATAAATAAATTTATTTAGTTTGCTCTAGCATTATTGTTAATTAAATGCATAATGTGGAAATGACCATTCCTAAAACGGCTAACTTCCAAAAAAAAAAAGAAAATCAAAGAAAAATTCAATATAAATATATTCATGCAGTTTATTGTTTAAATGTTACAGAAGGAAGAAGGAAGAATCATAAAATAAATTATAAAATATATATATATAGTAAATAAATAGTAAACCAAATGGTAATAAATTAGGGTTATTGTTATTTAATAAAAAACTTTTTAGAAACTTTTTTTATGAATGATATCAGGATCTTCTTGATATTCTTCAGCTGAAACCCACATCTAAACAAATTTAAACATATGTTAATATGTTATCAATGATGATGTGATAATTTGGTTTTTTTTGTATTACCTTCTTGAAAGTGCTTAGAGCTGCTAATATAGATCCACCTATCCATGTACTATATTTTCTTTCTGAAGGTGCATAAATCTTAATTTTAATATCTTTGACGGCCAATTTCCTCACCTCATTCAGCAATCTTGTACCAAAATCTTGATGATGGTAATGATGATGATGATAATTATAATGGTGATAATAATAATAATAACAATAAGTAAAGTAAAACAAAATATATTACATATGTACATGCACACACATCTTAATAATAAATTTACCTTTGTAAAGTGTTGATCCACCAGACAACACAACATTTGCAAATAAAGACTTTCTTAAATCTAAATCTACTCTATTAATTGAATCAACAACAACTTGGTGAACGCCTGCATACTCTTCTCCAATCAATTCTGGATTGAATAAGATTTCGGGTGCTTTAAATCTTTCAGTTTTCAACTATTACAGTATTGTAATAAATTATAATAATAAATAGCTTTAAAAGTTGGTTAATTAATTCCAAAAAAAAAATTGTATACATTTATTTACCTTGACAACATTACCATCAGGCAATACATAATCACTAAATTCTCTACTGGTATCTTTTTCTTCTTTATTCGGATTTATTGCAACATAACAAGTCTTTTCTTTTATGGTACGTACGACTTCTTTTTCTGCAGTGGTATGAAAATTATAACCAGATCTACGAAGAAGTAATTGTAAATATTCTGTAACGTCACTATAAAAAAAATTTTTTTTTTTTTTTTTGAGAAAAGAGAAAGAAAGTCAGTCATATAATGATAATTATAGTAACAGTAAATAGTGTTGATAATGTTGTTGATTGATAATGTGCTAATATTAATAATAAATAGAAATATAGTAATATTATTAATAATAATACTTTACCGGCCTGCAATATCAACTCTACGAATAGCATGAGGAAGAGCAAATCCTTCATATACTGGTACAGCATGAGTTACACCATCACCGGAATCAAGGACTATACCAGTTGTTCGACCTGAAGAATAACTAACGTAAAAATTTTTTTTTATAAACAAAAAATTTTCAACTTTTTTAAAAAAAAAGATTATCTCTTTCTCTGCATCTATACTTACAGACTCAAGACAGCTTGAATTGATGTGAACAAAGCTGGTGCATTGAACGTTTCAAAACAAAGAAAATGTTGATGATTATGATAATAATAGATTCAATAATAAATTAATTTTTAATATTTGATGATTAATATTAAAAATTTATTTTTTATTTCTTTGCACAAACAATCATTCTCTTTAGCAATTGAAAAGAAAGATAGAGGAACTAGAGGGAAAAGTTATAATGCTGACAAAAAAATTAAAAGAATCAGAAAAATCTGCAGGTAAAGATCTTATCTTAGAAGGCAAATGTTTGGGTTATACATTGGAGTCTGTATACATGATTTTTTATTTATTCATCTGAGTGTTCATTTTGTATATCGTTGTGTGCTAACTTGATTTTTTTCCCTTCCTTAATCTTGATAATTCTTTTTCCATTCTGTTTTGATTCTCTCAAAAGGTAAAATTGCAGTGTATTCTATTATTCATAATTTCAATTAGTCATTTAGTCATAATTATCTTTGACATTTACCTATATAATAGTATCTTGAAATTTATCATCACAACTTGGAATCATGAATGAAATGTCATTTTATGAAATGCATGTCTTTTAAGTTCATATTATTGTATTATTTTTGAACTAATTTTTATCATTCATTTCCAATCTAAAATAGGTAAATCGGAAGACCTCTCAACTCCAAGTAAATAATTAGTCAATGGTTTTATTTACAATTCTATATCTTTTAATACCCTAATCCTTTTTTATAATGAAGATTTAAATAGGTATTTGGAACAACTCAAAAGAATGAGCACTCCTTCATCATTTGCACAACCTACTGTGTGGGCAATTGAGCAAATGGAAAATCCATTAATTCTTAACCACCATCCCTCTTCAGCATTTGGGCTTCCTGTCACCCTTTGTTATGATGGATTTGCAAAATTTCAGGAAGACCTAATTTCAATAAACATATCACAAGAAGATACACAATTGTTTTAGAATTTGTGCAGTCTATGTCAGAAACATTCAAAGATGAAGAAAAATGTAAAAAGAAACTTCATAATATGTTGGGTAAATATCTTGGTACTGTGTTTCAGGAAGTAGGCTTTCGAGAATCAAGTACTACAGATGGTAGTAGAGATGTTCCAATGCGCACTGCATTGTGCACATGTAATTTTTGAAATCATGCACATGTAATTTTTTTTGTACATAGTAATAAATGTAACACACAAAAAATTAAATTATTATTCAAATGACTCAAGAAAATTTGGTCACAATTACTACATTATAAACAACATACTAGCTTGTTTGACAATTCTTTAGCATGGTCAACTATAGATGAAGCAGATTTGGTAACATGGTGTAAAGGGAATTTTTCATTAGTTGCCCCTGAACTGACTAATCTTGCTGTACAAATTCTTTCAATCCTACATCTTCAGCAGCACCTGAAAGAAATTGGTCTGCATCCTCATATATGCATAATAAAAAAAGAAATAGACTAACATCTGATATGGTTTTCAAATTAGTGTTTATTTATTTAATTATAATTACAAAAATCCAAAAAATCAAAAGATAATGTCAATAGAAACACTATGATACTGGTAATGATAATGAGGAACAGGAAGATGATGTTAGTGAAGTGAAAATGATGATGGTGATGTATACAGTGACTAATATTAGTGATTAAAATCTGTTGTTTTTTTTTAATAATAATAAAAATTTTTTTTTAAAAAAATAAAAAAGATTGGCAGATGCAGTGCGCATCATGCACATGAAGTTTGAAATTTTCATGCAATTTCCCATCCCTAGATGGTAGTATTATTATCTCAAGTGAAAACTCTATTGCTATAATCATGATAATTGAAATTAAGCCAGAATTGGGTCTTGGTGCTGGATGTCCATATGTGCAGGCATCTTCATATTATGCAGATTTTATTCTGCATCATAGAAAAAATTCAGCTGTGAAAGTCATAAATCAAAGTTGCTGTCCTACCTTTTTACTCCATCTTACAGGTGATATTTCTTTGATAACAACAGAGTATATTCCTCTATTTTCATACTATATCAATCAATTAATTCTATTCTATCTGGGATCACTTTATTAGGTCCATATTTGGGCATTGCTGGTGCTGTTTTACAAACAAGGTTACATGTGATCCACTTGTCCCTATTCTTCCTCTTCTGTTACTTCCACATGACCATAGGATGATGTTTCAAATCACAAAAATACTACGTGCACTGAAAACAAGTATTAAAACTTTAGAGAATTTTTATCTTTGCAGCAATAAAGGAATATTGTCCAAAGAAAATGTTACTCCAGAGATAGATATCAGTTCCACTTTCCATATCTAAGAAGTTTTCAATTAAATAATGGAAATATATCTTCATTCGCATATATTAAACAGATTGATGGTAAATTGGTATTTGTTGTAGAAAGTAAGGGAAATTGTACAATTGTGAAATTTTCTAGGAGATATCCAAAAGATATTCATTTGAAATGTTCTGAATTAGGATTAACACCAAAGTTGATTACAATAAATAATTTGGAAGGAGGTGGAAAATCGTAGCTATGGAATTCCTTGATACATTTTTCAGTATTGACAAACTTCTTCATAATAACCCAAATCAAGCTGATTGCATAAAATCTGCAGTTGAAAAAACAGTGAATAGATTTCATAATGCAGGATTTGTACATGGAAATATGCATGCAAACAATATTTTTGGATATTTAAACTGTAGCAAAATTCACATTAAGATAGTTGGTCTTAGTTGGGCAGGTTATGAGGGAAAAGCTCGATATCCTTTCTTTCTGAAGAAAGACAAAATTCAAAGGGATGAGGGTGCAACTGATGGGAACTTAATAACAAAAGAGCATGATAGATATTTAATAAATCAGATTTTTACAAAAAAACACTGATTTAGAAAGTAATGTTAATACAAAAGCTTGTCAGGCATTTATTATAATTATCACAATTGTCATTGTCATTTTTATTATTATAACATAATTATTATTTTCTATTTCAAGTTTCTAATAAATTTATTAATATGTGACGATGATCAAAAAAATTTAGTAAAACAAAATTTATTAAAGTTAAATAAAAAATCTGCTAAATGCTCTTAATAAGTTTTTTTATTAGTTGTGATTTTTCTTTCTTGGTAAATTTCATAGGTAATCCTTTCTTTCCTTAGATATGTTTCTAGTGTCTGAGTATCATTTATTTTGAAAACATAAGAAGCAATTTTTTCATCTTGTTCTTTTTTTAAAATATTGTAAATTTGGCAATGTGTCGTTTGCAAATTTACTACTTAATAATCATCCTTGGATAACAACAAGTTCAACTATTACTTAACAACTTACTCTTGAACAATGATCGATTGTTCTATTATACAATAGTCCAATTACAACTCTATTTACTACTCTGTGTCCTATTATTAATAGCTCACTAATTAATCGTTCTATGTATATAGTCCGATTATACTTGAACCACAAATTAAACTGTGAAACCTGACTATTAACAAAGTCGTAACAAAACTAACCAAACATGTGCTCTTTAGATTACTTCTCCTGTAATCAACACGCAAATAAACAATCTCTTTCAATTGTTATACAATACCTATTGATATCGTAGGACTTTTTCTTAATAAAATATTATATTACAAGTACCTTTAAACTTGTATCACTTGATATCTTTCAATCGAGACTTAAACTGCTGGCCAGTCTATTGATGGAAATGGTGAAGTTAGTATGTATGCCACTAAGGGAACATGATGATACAAAAAACTAAAC